CGCTTACTGCACAGTGAGGAAAAGCTTTTTGAGGCTTCTGAGCTACAATTGAGCACACATAAATAGGCCCCAACAAGTAGACTCTGCTCTCTTTCCTGGTGGTAAACAAGGCAAGGGCTGTTGTAAGCTTCTAAGTAAGAAGATGTAGTAGCAGTGGCCTTCCGCTGACTGCTGCTAATACCCCAGACAGATAAATATGTGGCCATGAACACAGGGCCCCTATCTGTTGGTTCTTTGCATTTGTTCTTTCTTGTTCTTAGGTGAAGGAATATTGGAGATGGAGTGGAACAGGCTATAATCTCACAATATCTCAAAAAGTCCCAGGTCAGTGGGCCATGCTATAGTTTGCCACCAGTACAACCCCAAGTAGTAATTTATGAGACTCAGCCCAGTAGACCTGCCAGCCAAGATATCATTTTCTGATGCAACTTCATCCACTAACTGTGCCACCTTGTCAATATGGAGGAGTTAATGCATTGTAACAAATTCTTTAAGTTTGAGTCTATTCTCCTGAAGGACCAAAGTGGCATGGGGTAAAGTGTGCCACTGACTCAGGAAGATATTTTGTACTTCTGTTCTTACTATATATTCTTAGTAAAATACTTTTATAAAAGCTAATTGATTAAAATTAGTTAAATGATTCCCAGAGCACTAATGAAGAAGAAATCATTATGTGCAAACCAGACATTCAGTAAGGAGAGAAGAAGCTGAGAGGAATAACAATAAATAAGTTGCTAAAATTTCTCTCCTAATTAGGAAAAAAGTTATCTTGGAAATTTATATAGACCAGGATCAAAGACATGTGCTTTTCTCTAGCTTTTCCTCTACCTTCCCTCTCTCAGATCAGAAAAAATAATAGTAAGAATAGTTAAGTCTTTCCTTGAAATTATTGAGGGACTTCACTCTCAGGAGAGAGCTAACCTAAACTAACAATGTGACATCAACAATTCTAAGTTCATGTGAGAAAACAGATAAAAGGCACAGCAGCAATGCATAAGGAAACATGGTCATAAGAAACCTCAATGTTCATAAATATAAGAAAAATAAAATTAAAGTTGTCCTTTACAACAGAATAAGAGAAACCAAAATTAGATTAAGCACTGGTTAATAACAGAGATTTAGTCAGGGATACACTGTCCCTAGGTATTTAAAATTCTTTAAACTTTGCCTTAATTATGCTTTATTTTCTTATATTCATTCATTGCCATTCTTAATAGTAAAATTTCATGTGAAAAATGTTACTGGATCATGTACTAATCTATTGTCTTACTTGTTTGTCCTTCAAGTAAGGCTAAACATTTGACCTATGTAGCCCAAGTCAGCTAAGGGTGGACTTGACAACCCAAACCAATTAAATTATGACAAATGTCATAGTCTCTTTAAAGTAAGAATCAGGTTGAGGAGTGAACTGGAAGGCTGCTAGAGATACTATTATTTATTAGCTAATATGTAGGTTTAGGTATTCTGTGAAAATTGTTATTTAAACAAAATCTGACTTGAAAATAACAGGGATATACAAAGGCATACAGTCAGGTTGAAGAAAATCTACTTCCTAGATCACTTACTGGAAAGTCGCAGCAGGAAATAAGGATTATATAAAATATAAATACAAGCAATGAAACTGGTTTCCATGTGTATAGGAATGATCTCATTACTAGTTGTGATTTTCCTTTTCTGAAAGGCCTCACGTAAAGAAAAGGCTGACTTCTGAAAGGAAAAGCACCAACCACTTTGAAAAAATTACTTCAGTGGACAATGAAGGTCATAAATAGCCTATCTGATGAGAAAGTCTACCCAGGGACTGCAACTGTAAGTCCTAAAGAGTCATGCAGAATTTTAGGAATATGAGTTGATCAATGACCCGGCATTACAAAGACTCAACGTAAGATTTATACTGCACATCCTTCCAAAAGGATATGAATCAACTTAAAGATTAAAACCTTGTAACTGAAGGAAATGGAGGAAATAGCATTTTCAAATGCTAGTCATCCAAGCACCTACTATATGCCAGGCACTGTGCTAATGTTCAGATACAAAGAAAAAGAAAAGGGGCAGCTAGGTGGTGCAATGGATAGAGCACTGGCCCTGGATTCAGGAGGACCTGAGTTCAAATCCGGCCTCAGACACATAACACTAGCTGTGTGACCCTGGGCAGGTCACTTAACCCCATCGCCTAACAAAAGCAAAAACAAAAAAACAAAACAAACAAAAAAAAAACCACAAAGAAAAAGAAAAAAAAAACAATCGCTCCTCTTAAGGAGCTCACAATCTAATGGGAGAAAACAAACTCAGGCAAAGAGCAATACTTGGGTAATAAATATTTATAAAGAATGAAAAGCAGAATGGTACAGATGAAAGAGCCCTGGATTTGGAGTTCAAGGACCTGGGCTCTAATCCCATCTCAAGTATTTATTACCTATATAGTATAATCACTCTTCCTCTTTAGCCTTCAGTTTCCTCATGTGTAAAATGACAGGGTTAGATTTGATGATCTCAGTGCCTAGCTCTAAATCTATGATTCCATCATCCCAGCTTTTACTTCTTGTTTGCTCTTTGGTATAATTTTCTCTAAAAGAAATGAATATTAATCTTATCTGAAATTAGTTGATATCTGCTCCAAGCGATTGCATTAAGTCAAAAACTGAAAGCAATCAAAAGTCAAAAAAGTAATGTCTGAATAAATGAATTTTTAAAAAAAACTTTTAAAGTGGTAGCATATTGTTCTTAGATTTCAATAAATGATATTTTTTAAAAGAATTACTTGTACTTTTAGCACATATGAATCCCTGCAAAATGTAAGTGCCAGGTTTCCTATCAATTCTATTATTTGGAAAGGGGCATGTAAGCTCTATTGTGAAGTATTAATTTTCCTCACTTAAATAGTAGAGCAGTCTATACTTTGAGAGTATATCCTTTTCCACATTATTTCATTGTTAATGCTAAAGTCAAAACTGCCCCCCAAAAATTTATTTCACTAGAGCCTTTATAATTATATTTCCATTAGCATTAAAAGGAGCCTTTGTTTTCTAGAGTACTTACAGAGGACTCCATCAATCAGTTTAAAATTTTTAAGAAAGGAAAGAAAAACACAGAACCTAATCAAAGCAGAAATATTATGTATTTGTAGCATACAGTTCTTGATGGCAGATAAGTCTATTGCACGTTAGAGTAGAGATGGACCAAAGAAATAATTCCAGAAAAAAAAACAAAATTTTAGAAATGATTCAAAACTACTATAGTCTGTTCATTTATTAACTGGAATTTATGTTAAGAGGACAGGGCCAATTTAATGCCATACAAGTAACTACACATTTGAATAGACCTATATCTCTGCTGCCCTTTGTGGCTAAACTCCCTAAGAAGGCTATCTACAATAGGTGCCTCCGCTTTCTCTCCTCTCACTCTCAAGCCCTTACAATCCAGCTTCTAACCCCATTCATCATTCCATCAAAACTGCTCTCTCCAAAGATACCTCTTAGTTGCCAAATCCAATGCCCTTTTCTCAATCCTCATTCTTCTGGATCTTTCTGCAGCTTTGTTACTGTTGATCCTCCTCCATTCCTCGATACTCTCTTCTCTCTAGGTTTTGGAGACACCATTCTCTCCTCGTTCTCCTCCTACCTATCACGCCACTCCTTAGTCTCCTTTGCTGGATCCTCATTCAGATCACACCCTAGGCTCTCTCCTCTTCTCCCTCTGTACTACTTCACTTGGTGATCTCACATGAGCTCCCATGAATTTAACTTTCATCTCTATGCTGATGATTCTCAAATCTACCCGCCCTAACCACCCTGCTGATCTCTAATCTTGCATCTCTAATTGCCTTTCAGACATCTCAGACTGATGTCCAATAGACATCCTAACTCAACATGTTCAAAACTGAACTCATTTTCTTTCCCCCAAATTCTTCCCTGCTCCTACCTTCCCTATTACTGTAGAGGGCAATGCCATCCTCCCAGTCCCTTAGGCTCCCAATGTAGGAGACATTCTGGGCTCCTCACTATCTCTCACCTTACCCCCCACATCCAATCTGTTGCCAAGGCCTGTCAATCTCACCTTTGCAATTTGTTCCCTTCTCTCCTCTGACACTGTCACCACTCCAGTGCAGGCCCTTATCACCTCACACTTGGACTATTGCAACAACCATTCCAACCTTCATTCAGCCACTAACTTGATTTTCCTAAAATGCAGGTCCAACCATATCACCCACCTATTGATTAAACTCCAGCGGCTCTCTATTGCTTCCAAAATCAAATCTTACCTTACCTTACTCCCCAGCACTTACTCTTGAATCCAGTGACACTGCCTCCTGGCTGTTCCATAAACAAGACACTCCATCTTTCAGCTCTGAGTAGTTTCTCTGTCTGATTGCCATGGCTAGAAGGCTCCCCCTCCTCACCTCCTCCCGCTAGCTTCCCTGGCTTCCTTTAAGTCCCAATAAAACCCATCTTCTATAGGAAGTCTTCCCTAACCCCTCTTAATTCTAATGCTTTCCTTTTTTAAATTATTTCTTATTTATCCTGTGGATAGCTTGTTTGTACGTTATTTGTTTGCTTGTTCTCTCGCCCATTAGACCATGAGCAAGCTCCTTGATGATAGGGAGTCTTTTGTCTCTTTTTGTATCCCCAGGCTTAGCACAGTTCTTGGCACATAATAGGCACTAAATAAATGTTAACTAACTGACTAAGACTTCCTCCAGAAGTTGGAGGCACTTTGAATAAACTCTTAAGAGTTCTGCATTAATCTGTTAACCAAAAAATGGTAGCCTGCACATCTGTTCATAAACCCCAAACAATGAGGTCTGAGGAAACTCTCAGTAACACAACCACAATTCCTACCAAAGAACTCTATTTCTTTCTCCTATCCTGTATAATCAACCCACAGTAATCCTCTAGAAGCAACGTAACACTGCAGTTTGTGTTTCTTGAAAATGTAGATAATACAAAATATGTTTTAAAATAACTTTACTAAAATAAATATACCAACTCCTGAAGCCTTACCTTGCTACTCTTCCCCGAAGATCTCCCAAACCAGAGAGTTGGCGCATCTCCAGACTCTTTAAGGCAGAATTTGTTCCATAGCTGATGTTATCCCTGGCACGTATCTGTTCTTGTAGGACCTTCATTCAACAAGAAAATAGCAACAAAGTCACTTGGACTTACAGGAAAAAAGTTTTAAGCTTCCTGTGTGAAAAGAAATATTTTCTCATCAATTACAAGAGGGTACATCTGAAATAATAACCTGATATAAAATAATATATGGGATAATGGAATTTTTGAGGTTCAAGACATCTCAGAGACTGCTCTTCTCCCCCATTTCACAGATGAAGACAATGAAACCAAGAGGTGAAGTAGCTTTGTTCCTGGTCATCCAGAGAGTTGGTGAAAGAGACCAAACCAGAACCCAATTTTCCTGACTTCCAATCCAGTGGTCCTGTCTGATAACATTCATGGTTTCACATGAAGCAATCTTCTACAACTTAATAGGCGTAACACCTGAGTGAGGAGTTAAATTATTTCTCGCATTTTCTCATAATGAAAGTCATTTTTCACAATATTCTTTAGAGACTCAAGAGTTAGCTAACTTCATGGGTAGACACTAGTTAAGCTTAACACTGAATTTTATAGCATGTATCAAGGAGAATTCCTAAAGAAGAAAAAAAAAGCAAGAACATAAACAGTGTATATTGGGAAAGGTGTTAGATGAAGTGCTATATTGGGGAAATCACCTAAAAGAGCGCCAAAAATGTTATCAACAGGTTGATATCAACCTTGGAAGAAGTGTACTAAATGGTGTCCCACAGAAAAAGGATTTAAAGTTAAGATAAATAGAACACAGAGACATTTGGAGATACTGTCCTATCTGACTGGTGATCCTAGGAAATTCTGTCCTACCTTCAGTTATTCGAATTTGCATGTGCCCAATAACTACCATGTAACAGTGAAAAATTTCTTTACATACAATTATGTTTAAACTAAAACAAAGATATTTCAGTCAAACATAAAGAAGAATTGCTTGACAGTTATTAAGTCTCCATCTCACAAGATCTTCATAAAGAAAATAGACAAGCTCTCTGTTCTAGAAAGGGACAGAAGACAATCCCTAGTACAGCATAGGGAACACAGAACCAGACTTTGGGTCAAGAAGACCAGGTTTCAAACACATACTGCCTCTGACATTTTCTAGCATGAACATAAACAAATCCTTTTGCCTCACTAAGCCTCACTTGACTTATCTGTAAACATTTAAAGTGCTTTGCAAACCCTCAAGTGTCATATAAATATAAGATGCCAATATTATTATTTATTTTTTGGTCTAAACCTGTGATTTCATTCAAGGGAGGAAACCCCCTCTATCAATGCAGGTCAGTAACTCTTCTGCAACTTAGAGAGATGCACTGAGCACTGAAGGGTTAACTGATAGGCCAAAGATCACATAGCCAATATATTTTCAGAGACTTAATTTGAACCAGATCTTTTTGACTCCAAGGTAGGTGCTAGGTTCTGAGCCAGAAGTGTAATAATTTCCTTCCAGTTCTAGAAATCTACATAGGTGTGTATTACCACCCATTTGCATAAAAACTGTCAATTTAGAGAAAACCAGAAATTTATGCACTCATGATTCTACACCAATAGGGATTCCAAAATTTTACTTGCAAATGTGCAAATAAGCTTTATGATCAAAGGATCTCACAATCAGTGTTCTTAATGTGCAAATGTCATATCGATGTAATTATCACTGTGCCTTTTTTAATCTAAAGATTTTCAAATGTTTAAAAATGGCATTATGTCTTTTCTTTCATAAGAAATTGATAGGAAAAACTGTGCATTGGCAAAAAAAAAAATCCTTTAGGGAGGGGATACTTACTTTGCTCTACTAATTTAAAAATTAATCCCTTTTCCCACTTTCCTCTCTTACTTTGATGGTACAACATGCTAGTCTTGTCACTAAACAGGGCTCTTCTAAACAGATCCAATTACAAAGAGATTTGTTCAAAAAAATAGGTCTTAACGTACAAATGTGTTTTGGTTTGGTTTTGAAGTTGGCAGAAATAAGGACTGTTTGAATTACAAATATTTTAAAATGAGCAATATATATATATGCATACACACACAAATATATAAGAAAATATAGGCCAACCATTGGATCAACTTGAACAAACTAGAATTTGGGCAAGTATGACCTATATACTACACTGAATTCCTGCCAATATAAAATCCAGATGAAAACAACAAAAAATATGAGGCTGTGGCATATATATGTACACCATAGCTGCACAATTCCACACACCTCATAGAATGCAGGGACCTTACCTTCTATATATTTTGTGTCCACCAATAGGCCCTTGCTCCAGGTCACCTAAGTGACACTAAAGGGAAACTCATTCTAAGAAAAGAGCTAAAGCTCACTACCCAGGGCCTGATGTTCTAAAATCTAGAAATAACCTGAAACAGGGGTAGCTAGGTGGTGCAGTGGAAAGAGCACCGGCCCTGAAGTCAGGAGTACCTGAGTTCAAATCAGGCCTCAGACACTTACTAGCTGTGTGACTCTGGGCAAGTCACTTAACCCCAACTGCCTTTAAAAAAAGAAAAAAAGAAATAACCTGAAACAAAGACAATATGGATAATCCATCTCTGTATAATTTATAGTTGACGATATTATTATCATTACAAATTTCAAGAAGTTAATTGGTTGAAGCCAACTGGAGAATAAATATTTGATAATATAGTCATCATCACAGTATACACTATTAATGAAAGTGATATACATAATATGAAGGCAGTAGATCATTCAAAAAATAGTTTACTTTGGAAGGTAATTAAAAAAACATTTATTAAGCACTAACTATATGCAATACATTGGCTAGGCATGGGGGACACAAAGATGACAAAACACTTGCCCTCTAGAATTTTACAGTATAATAAGAAAAATATTTACACAAAAAAGTATGATATAAGACAGAAAGTGCCTAAGACAAAAAAGAAGGCCAGGCAAAGTGCTATAAAAAAAAATTGAGAAGAGAGAAGATATCATATCCCTTCCAACCCTCTCTACTCTTTCCTACCAATTCATAGGACCAAGTAAAGGAATGGAACATGGCTTACCTCTACCACTTTCCCTCTTTCAAGTTCTATGAAATCTACTGCCACGCACTCCCCATCATCTATCAAACTCCTGATCGTTTTCTTTTTTCCTGTGTTGTCAGTACTCTCAGTCTTCCTTTCTACTCTATTCCTCAACATCACTTATCAAGGCCTTCACTTTCTATGTTGAAAATGCCTATGAGTTCAACAAAAATTCCTCTTCCCTTAAGCAAAATAATGGTTCTTATGGGAAGGGAGGTTTAGTCCTTGAAAAACAATAGGAAACCAGAATTGCTTATTATTTTTGGTAACAAATAAAGGGTATATAAATATGCAGTGTATAATATGACTTCAAGAAATATAACAGTAATTCACTACAGGAAGTTCCCACTTGATATTTTAAAGAAAGAAAATTCATAGGTACATTTACATTATTTATGCAAGGTTATATGCATAGACATTTTTTAGAAATCTATTTTAGATATATAATTTCCCCTAATTAAGACTCATTTGTGGAAGGGTACTACAGCTCTCATCGACATCAGTAAGGCAGCTTTACTAGTTTATTTTCTGCTGCATCTTACAGAAGATTAAACTGTTTTTCATATATGTGTATATATATATACATATATACATATATACATATATATCATGTGAATATATACATGTATATATACACACATGGAGAGAGTGTGTACATATATTGACTTGTTACACATGTTAAAATTGGTTTTTAAAAGGTGATGTAAATAGTGATTTCCTTATTGAAAAATACATATTTTGTATTGTTCTAATTCAGAGGGAAAGCCTTTTAATCTCTTTAAGTTCTGTATAGCTAATGTATAAGTGTAAATATGATCAGATAGGTTTAAATTTTTTTGCATGTATGTATACATTTGAAAATCTGGGAAGAATGTATAAAATAAACTTTTTATTTAAACTTGTGATTACTGGCTGCATGAAACATGCATGGGGGATCCTGTGCATATGGCAAAAAGTCTTAAATCAGATTTCATCAAAAACAACAGTATTCCATTTCAGGGCATAACTTTTTTTTTGCCGTGCTCTTTTAGCTTTGTGAAAGAACATGTTTTGAATCCAAGAGTCTAAAAGAATCAAATGAATGACTTTTTCAACATAAAGAACCCACACAACTACGGTCATCAAGTTTTAATTCCATTGAAAACAAAAACAAAAAAATGTATAAGGAGTATTCCAATACTAGAAAACAATGGGATATTGTATTACCATTCATTATATAAATTAGAAGGTTTACACAACCAGTTTTGTTATGATGTGCTCAATATAACTTGTCATTTTTTATTAGAAATTTAATTTTTTTCATGTGGCGTCATGGAACTGCATACTGCAGTGTGAAGGTTTTTTTTGTTTGTTTTTGTTTTTAAATCTTTTGGTGTTTATTTCCTGCAGTGGATTTGAATAAATGAGAAAATGCAGAAAAAAATGCCTCTGAAACCACGCACATAATTCATCAACCTCCTTAACAATTACCTTTTCCCACCCCATTTCATTTTCAATCTCACCGCTCCTGAGAAAGGTCCATTTTTGGTTTTTGTTGTTTTTTTTTTAAATCTTTGTATTCTTGGCATCTAGCACAGCGCTTTACACATAGCTGCTTAATAAAACTGCTGAAATGAACTGAATTTGCAACTTCAGCTTCACTAATTCCAAGATAACAAATTTTAAAATTCCACTTTCTGATCATAATGTCCTATCCTTTATCCTTCCATCTCTCTCACTCACACTAAATTTACACCTGACCCTTATTGTCAAGTTTGGTTCCTTCACACTTCCATATTCTTTGAGTGTACGTGTCTTACTCTGGCGTCACTTGCCTCTGATACCATCTTGACCCCATGATTGGGCACTTCAATGGCTCACTAGCCATTACCCTAAACTCCTTCAGTCTGACCTTCCATCCCCAACTTGTGGATTCTAATTTTCTGCTAACCCCACCTTCCAATTTCTTTGTTGTTTTTCCAGGGGGAATGAGTATCACTAGAGAAAAGTCACA